TAGACAAATTTTATAAATTTTTTTAAATAAAAATTTGAATAAACATTTAATTCTGAAATACTCAGTCATGAAGGTTAAACTGTGCCAAAAAAATATTGTGCAATCTAATAAAGTGAAATACGCATTCTTCCTCAGACTAAATGAGTTAACTTCAAAAGTCTTAGCTAATAGATAAACGCTTGACATTGACACGTGGCGTAAATCCTTGAAAACATATGTTTTTGCATTTTCAAGTGCTACATATCCATTCTCAATGTAATCCTTCCTGCTATTACACCTTGAAACAACACCCAGATCTTTTTGTTTACTTTATTTACCTCATCTTAAAATAGTCTTTTATTCGAATGATTGAGTATGCCATAGAGGTAAAATAATACTTTAATTTTATTCAGAATACCTCATAAATGTTATAATTTAACAAAAAAAATTATTTAATAAATAAAAATTAAGTTTTTTTTCAATTAATCCTTCTATTCATTGTTCATTATGCGCTCAAAATAAGCGCAGTAAAAAACGAGTAAATGATCAGACTAATAATTACATATTAATTAATTTAGTTATTTGGTTTTCTAAAAATTTATGAGCCATCTAACGCACTGTAACTGATTACTGACTGACCTCTGTCAAACTTTAATGTTTACTCAAATAATTGCCTGATATACTGACATATTGTCCTAAGTAAAGTATATTTTTACTTTTTACTTTCACTAGTAATATGAAGTTGAAATTATTTACGAGGTTACGTATACTACTGAAAGCTTTTTACGTTCCTTTTTGCGAATAAAATTTTTTCATAAAATTAATCATCCAACACTACCATTATAATAATTAAAAATATAAATGCAAAGCGAATACTTTACGACAATAAAGCGTTCTTTCTAAACTAATAAATCTCTGCCCTCTGCAATATCTTTAGCATTTAATTTATTAGATTGAAATTTAAAAAAAATCTTAACTAAAAATAAGATAGTTTTGCAGACTCAACTCATTGATGCTTCTGGATTCGTCGCATTCGCACTCAAGGAATTCCGTCTCGGAAAATTTTTAGAACAAGCAACTTGCTGCGTCGATAGTAATAACCTTCTTGTTAATCCTTTCTATCAGAAATAATTAAGTAATTAAGTAATTAGTGGTACTAATCAAAGTTAATAAAAAATTCCGTCAGCAAAACTTGAAGTTTATTGCTTTGAAAACAACAAATCTTTATCAAATAATTTAAATAAAATATGAAATTTAAATATATTTTTGATAGAACAGAATCTAAAATGAGTAATTTCAGATAATGTAAACAAAGATTGCTTATGTGAAATTTATGTTCATATTTGCATCGGTGTTGTTTCCGAGCATCGCAACAAATACCATCGAGACTGTTCGCTGCTGCACCATAATTCGAAAATTATAGCTCACACGCAACTTCGTAACTACTATAACGTGAGCATACCATTTGACGTACGCTGGCCTACTCAGGTTTTTTTTGAATGATTTTTTTTGAATGTAGTCAATATCAAAATTTAAATACAATATTAGTTTTTACTATTTTTTGATTTTCATTTGCAATGCTCAAAAATGATGCCAACGCAAATATGAATTATAAATTTTGCGTTGATATTGTTTTCGAGTAATTTACTAACAGAATTACTATTACTCTATGAGGCACATTCAGAGTACCAAATCAAGTTACTTGTGTTGTTTTGCGATTCCAAATTTCTGTTGCAGTCATTGCTTATTTGTTTTGCGACTAGAGCTATTTAAATTATTTCGCCCTGAATTAGGTGTCAAAGAATCATTCCAAACTGTAAGTGATTAGTGCATAATGAAAAATGTTCATATCTGTGTATTATTACGTGTAATACTGATAAGCAAGTAAATCCTATCTCACAGATTTCAGCTTTTTAGTAATAATATTCATTTTCCAATTATACTTTTATTTATTCACAAAATATGTAAAGAGGATATCGCTGTAGCTTAATTACAAAGATCTGTACTTCAACAGAATTTACTTAAATAACTATTATCGCTTGTTAGTTTTAGTAACAAAGGATGCAAAGTATACTGATGAATTTTGGTGTCAACTCATGATTTTTATTCAAATTTGTAACAAGTAATAATCATTCTTTTAAATGTTACTGACTGAAGTTATTTTTTTGCAATCTTTCTTGAATGCTATAGTCTTAAATCAGGACTTATAACTAGCACAGGTAAGTAACTGATCTTATCTGCCAGTCGATTAATAACTAAGGACAATTTTGTGTTTCAACGACGACATGTGTTTGATACATTGCGTATATCTAGCGATGACAAATACATTTCGCAGGAATTTTCAATTAAAACACATTTATTTTCATAGATCATAAATTTATACACGTCAATTATTTGTAGAATATCATTTGAGCACTCTGTTAACTTTAAATCTAAGCTTACGACATTAGCTTGAAGATTGAATTGCTTTATGCTAAATATAAGCTAAAAAATACAGAGTACTAAAATTAGGCCTTGGTATTTTGAGAGTGAACGCATTTGTTTTTTGATTGTGAATTGAAAGTGAGAGTTCTTCATGATAGGTTTTTGGGTAGCATTTCCGGTTAGAATAGATAAAAATCATGTGATTTGCATTTCTAAACGATCAGCTGCCAACCAATATTGATCAGATCGATTTGCACGATAAAATCTACTCAGAGCAAAAAAAAAACAGTGAACGTGAAAATATGTTTTTTGGCACTTACAAATAATATCATGATAATAGATTATTCTGACTTCGAGAAGAAGAAACATTTTTTGATACTATTTATTTTTAGATAAAAATGCTAGAAATCTTGTAAATAATTTCAGGTAGTAATGTAAATAGTATTCTTGAAATTACGAATTTAAATTAAGAATATCCCAGAAGTTATGATGCTATTAATTTCTTAATTTTAATTTGTTCAGTAGCCCTTCACTGAATTCTGATCTTTTGAGTTTAATGCAGCTAATAGTTTTCGAATACTTAATTCCGTTTGATAATAACTGATTTATTTAGCAAATTGACTAGAATTCTTTGAGATCCACAAAGCTTTCAAGCTTGTGGTGTGAAATACCTGTTCATTTATGCTGTAGCTTAAAATATTCAACCGGTCAAATCATTCTATCTCTTTTTCATTTTTGAATAGTTGTGTTTTTTGCAAACTATTTTTTTCAATCCTTCAAATTTCAAATGTTCAATTAATTTAAATTTTGTTTGAAATTTTTTGATGACAAAGTCAAATAAATTTCCGAAATTTCAAAATATTTAACGTTTTTTAATACAAAATTACATTTAAAGTTTTGCAAACATTCAAAAAAATTAAGCAAAAGTATTACATTTTATTTTTCATTCGAAAAGATAAATTTTGAATTTTTCTGAAAAAAATAGGAAAGAAAGTAATCTGAGCTAGCGTGTAATTGTCCTTTCTGAGGTCAGCGAAGCTGAAAATCAAAAATGTACTAAATTAAAAAGAAAGGTATTGCTATGACACCTTTGCACGTTAATTGCATGTGTATTTGCATGACCGAACGGAACAACTGACCATAAAATAGCCATTGCAATGTGTTCAGATAATTTTTTCAAATAAACATAAAAAATAAAAACACGAATTGGTCTTTTGATTTGTTTTGCTTTTAGCTTAATTCGAACACAAAGTACATATTATTAGCACACTGTACTTTTGTAGTTATTACTTTCCTGATATTTTCTATTAATCTTCTGTATTTATCAATTTGCTACAGTATCGTATTAAATCGTAGCTAAGTTTATTAGCTACAATGAAATCATGCAATACATACAGAAGACGAAGGGTGCCATAATGTCGGGTTAACGAACGGTCTTTTAGGGTCAGTTTGGGTTTCAAATCACTTTTTCATGCTTTACTCAAAACTGATGGCATTCTTAGTTCGGTTATTAACAATGATTACTCTTAATTTACTTCATAATTGCCTATAATTTACTCCTCAATCTTAATTGGAAAAACAATCAATCATTTTACATAACATTTCTTGCGTGTTAATGCAAGAATCTTCTTTACGCCACGCAAATATAAGATAATTGCACGAATAGTTAGATAATTGCACTTAATCGTATTATCTGGTATTACTCCATTGTAATTGTAAATAAATTTAAGTTTGAGTGTTTGCTTATTTTTCACGTACAGTTACGTATACGTACCAACAGACCTTGTCAGATCTTTATTAACTTGATCAAATCTCGCAGTAAAACCTCTTTCAATTATTGATTTTAATTAAAAAACAATTTCAATTAAATTACGCGTAGTATTTTATGAGTCAGTCTAACTAGTAAATGAAAGTTCTGAAACTATCACTAATTAATTATAATTGATAGATTAGATCTAATAAAATTGAAATTTATTTTTTTTACAGCTTAAAATATTAGGACAAAAATACATAATTATAATTCATTATTTCGTGGTCAGAATAAATTTAGATCTTCTTATGATTGCGATACTACATTAGCATTTTAGTAGTGAGATCAGAATATCTTCCGCTTACATGAGATGATTTAAATTTTTTTCAGTGATATGATAGTTTCTGAAGTCAGTTAAGACTTCAGAAACTATCAAATCATTAAGAAGATTAAAAGGTTTTTTATATGCAAATTAAGTGACGCTTTGAATGGAATACAAGTGTCAGGTGTTCGTTTCATTTCCACTCCATTTAAACTAGAAAACATCTGACTTTTGTATTTTTTTAGTAAAGGAACGCTTACGTAGGGCACGTGCAGTGAACCCATTCTATTGTATTATTATTCAGAAAATTGTCATTTTTTGACAAAGTAAAAATTAGATAGTATTCTTGAAAACCAACGCCAGATAAATGCCAGTAGTGGCATACTTGGATAATTTGCAACAGCTGCGAGTTGAACTAAAATTGAGATAAAGGCAATTCTTAGTGATTTTACTTGCAATGGTAGTAACATGTGCAGAAGGTCAAAGGTTCTCAATATTCTATTTCTCGTTAAATTTAAAAAATTTTTTACCAAATACTTTTATTAAAAGAAATTATTTTTAGCCAATTCGTGACACTGTTATGATAGATAATAAATCATTATTGATACTAATAATTAAAAGATATTATTATTGTGGTTATTTATAATTTTAATAGTTACAAAGTAAAGAAGAATAGTGAAAGGGCAGGTGTAGGTAGCAGTACATAAGAAAAGGTTGGATACAAGGAGACTTGCAGCTGTTGCTTCTGCTGTCAGGTGAATACATAAATAAAATTAGAATAAAGTTGTCGTTTCGAATTAAATCTTAAAGGCAAGGCGAGGAATACTTCATAAGGCAACAAAAAATTTCACGTCAGAAATTCATACTATTTTGTAATTTCATTTGTGATTTGCTGTTTCATGCTAATACTGTTTTTAGCAATAGTTACCACTTTTGTAAGCAGAAATACTTGTTGGAAAATTGAAAGTGAGTGTAATAGAATATATAAAAATTTAATTTTAAAATTTAATTCTGAAAAACTGGTAGAAAAATATTGTCATAAAATGAAATGAATAAATTTAATAAAGATATCACACACAAAACCTTCCTGTTTTCCTTTACGAATATCAATATCACAATTTTTAACTGATCTTTTTTAAATATTAGAGCCAAAAAATTACAAAAGTTATCAATTTTTGTTTAGGCCTCAATCATGCTTGTGAAGTAAATTGGATCCTTTAGTCAGTTTATGAATACTGTAAAAGTAGTATCGAAAGTTAAAATGAAATGAACAGCTATCACTGAAGATCATATTTGTAGATCAGATTCACTAAAAAATGATCGAAAGCTATCATTTACATTGTGATAGCATAAATTTTCGTGGTATGCAAATTATTTTATCAATACTTACTGAGGATGCTTGTAATTTTTTCATGCTTAATTAAAGCCATTCTTCAATAAAATTAAAACTTTGACTTGTAGATCAGTTCTTAATTATCGGTTAGTCTTTCTGCTGTTTTTAGGAATCGATGAAAGGTAGCAAATAAGATTGCACTTGCAAGAACTAATTCAAAAATTTGCTCTATGCCAAAAGATTCTGTAAATTAACCAAAACTAAAGTTTATCTGAACATCTGCCCAAGTAAGACAAATTACTACACTGCAATTACAACTCTTGTCGTGCAAATATGAAAATTCTTATTACGCCATAAGCAACACTCTAAGCAAATATTTTCTTCACTTCATCACTGCTAAGCTTTTATTTGTGCTAAGAGTTAAGAGGAATGAATTACTTACTGAAATAAACTTAAATACTCAAATTATAATTTTTTAAGTCTAATTCCTTCCTTTGCTACCATTTCATTTCGTATTATCATGGTTGTTTTGACTGCAAAAGTTTTGACATTTGCATAATACAATCTTTTCTGAGGTAATTAATAACAGATAATTAAATGAATAAATGATTATCTATCTGTGTAAATATATTTATATTCAATATTTGAGCATTTTTGAATAGCACAAAATGCAAAGTGACTTAAACTCATATAAGTGAATTATCTATAAATGAACTAAAAGTGGTCAGTATGCTAAAAAGATTAATTTAACAGTTCAACAAGTGCCTTCTCAAGTGATCAAAGAAATGAATCAGTGCACGCTGTCTTGAAAGTCTTGAATAAATATCATATTTGATCGTTTTGACAAATATAATTGAGGGAAAGCTTTGAAATTTGAAAACAAATTAAAGTTTTTCCGGTAAAATCAATATAAGTATTTTAATGCATTTCACTTCTAAAATGCACACTTACTTAAGCAACAAAGTTTATATCTCTGGTTAGAAAAAATTTAAACAATAACACATTTTTATTTATGGCAAACTTTTGAAACTTTACTACTTCTTGAACTGCTTCAATAGGTCAAATGACATTTTCTCACGTTTATATTGACTACTTCTTGAACTGTTTCAATAGGTCAGATGACATTTTCTCATGTTTTATTAAATAAATTAACCTTTAAAATTCATTATACAAAATTTCTATCAGTGAGGGAGTAAAGTTGAAATTGATTGTAAGCTATAAATTATTCCAAGAAAGCTCGCTTTTTCAGAATGTTTCTCTTCTGGTTGAAATGCGACACAAACGAAATAAGGCAGTTGCGTTTCGTTCTGAAAATTTTCTCAAGTTATCGCCATTATCTGAAGAGATATCTCGAATTAATGAGGTATACATTTCAGATTAATATTACTCATCAATCATAACTTATCAGTACTATTGTGCTCTCGTTCTTTTTTAGTTTCTTCCAATAATTTTCTTTTTTGAATTTTTGCCTCCACAAAATTTAATACTAAACTCATACTAAGTATTCTTGAGTCTAATTAATCTGTTTATTTTTGAGATTAGTGTGAAAAGCAAAACTCTAATCTAAACTATTTTGATCATTAATGCCACGAGTGTTTACTGTAGTATTTTTGAAGGACTGAATTTGTGTACTTGATATTCTGAAGTATATTATTGCTGTTGTTTTGCTAATTTTCACATTGAAAGGTGCCAGAAAATTAAAATTTGACATTATTTAAAACTATTAGTTTTCCACCTTATGTTTTTGTGATGACAAAAATTTACAGAAGAGAGGCGATGCTGAAATAAGTTATGAAGTGAAAGTACAATGTGGCAAGTTTTACTACGGTGAAGAATGTTCTATCTTCTGTAATCCAACTGTCGGAAGGTTAATTTGCCCAGTAATTATACTTTCAGTAGTGGAGTATGAATCTAAAATGCGAAAAATATGTACTTGTTAGAGGTCATGATTATGAAGCCAATTTAAATTTGACTTCATATAATGAGCCATAAGAATAATACTTAACTTTATATGCAAATATTATCATTTGAAAGAATTTCACGAAGAAATAGCATAAGAGCTTCGAGAGCAACTGATGCTATTCAGTTTCAGAAGCAGGCAAGCATTAGACGATCGATTTTACTAATATTTGAGTAACTGATTACCTAAAGATGAAGTTATCTCATCAATATTTGATCAGTGTTTGATTTGCAGATTTCACTTCAAATGTTCACCTTACGGACATCGCTTATGTGAAGATGGATGGAGCGGACAAAACTGTGATGATCCCATTTGTGCTAATGGATGTATTCATGGATATTGTATCTCTCCTGGAATATGCAAGTACGTTCAGAGATTAATCACTACTAAAACTACACTATAAGATGAAGTTTGCATGATTTGAGGTTTTGTTCTAATAATAAAAATTAAGCAAAACCTATCTTCTTCACACTTCTGTCATCGCTGTTATCAGTGAATTTTGTTCGCATTTGCAGAAAACAATGCATAAACTGATAATATTCATAAAAAAGCAAAAATATGAGAAATCCCTTTGAGTTCATCAGCATTGAATTTCCTAGTAGTCGTGTTGATTTGCTGCAAGTTCAAGGGTCATAGACTTGAATGATTTCAGATGTCGTAGTGGATGGCAAGGCGAGAACTGTAATCAGTGTAAATCTCAGGAAGGTTGCCAACATGGCTATTGTAACAAGCCTAATGAATGTATTTGCGAGAAAAATTGGGGTGGTACTTTCTGTGACAGGTTAATTTGCATAATTTACCTCAGATCTTCTTGACTCTGAATGATACCTTAAAATATTCAAGTGCAATAATGAACACTTCAAGTTATCAAGTTTTTAATATAAACGAAAGTAAGCTTTCTTTAAGCTACGATCAAATATTTGCAGAGATTTAGACTACTGCTTCCATAATTCACCTTGCTTGAACGGTGGCAAGTGTTCAAGTGCCGGACTGCAAAATTATTATTACTGTAATTGTACAAACGGTTTTACTGGAAAAAACTGCGAGAAGAAGGTAGAATCTATAGCTAAATTTAAATTTATACACGTTGTTTATGTACTTTTTCTTCTAAAAATTTCAAATTGGTGCTTTAATTTATTTTGCGCAAACTCTGCTTGATTGATGAAACTTTGTGAAATAAATAGTCATAGCAATTTTTACAAATTATTCTGTAATATTATGGTATGAGAAAAATACTAAAGAAAAAGTGCTTTCAATATGATTTTAATTAATAAATTTGTAAACTTATTAATTAAATTAAGCAGATAGATCCGTGCTCAGCTGTCAATTGTGGTAAATACGGCCGCTGCATAGCTTTGTGGAATTCTGAAAACAATTATAAATGTGAATGCGATGGATCACATTACGGTGATCACTGTCAGTATCAGACTCATGACGAAAATAGTAAGTGTAAAAGAGCTTAGCTTTATTTTATTTGAGGTATATAAAGCACGTAAAATTTAATCCAAATGAAAATAGCAAAATTTTTGCATTTTTAATTTTTTTGAAAAATTTGCTAAGCGATATTTTATATCTGTAACAGCGATCATATAAGATTGCAAATAGATCTCATCAAATTTGTAGTCTTGTAATTTTTGTAATATAATTAACTTGGGCTTTTATTAATAATTGCTAATTATTTGCAGTGAAAGGAGGAAGTTGTAAATTATCAAACTGGGAGTATATGGAAAATGGATTCAGTTGGCTTACCGTTGACTGCCGATTCTGCTCATGTCACATGGTTAACTATTTGTCTAGTTTGTAAAGTTATTGAGTTACAATTACAAGAATTAAATATTTAACTCAATTAAATATAGCAAAAATTAAACATAATTGAATATTTTAGAGCAAAATACGATGTTCAGAGAAAAAATGTGAACCACGTGATTGTTATCGCAATGATTCTGAATCAGGACAACCAGTATCATGCCCAAAAGATCAGGTACATTTCTACAAAAGTCTGTTTCATCTTTTGCAAATGCTAAATTAAGCTGGAAAAAGGCAAACATTTTGAAATATTTTGTATGAAAATATTACAAAGCTTACGGATTTGTTATTAAAATTTGAATAAGATAAAGTTTAAAATATTTTAGCGCTGCGTGATTATTACGCAAGATGAATGTCTAAAAGGCGATTGTAGTTATCCACGTGGTAGATGTTTTTCATGGTCGCAACTGAACAGCGCAATGCTCCGACGTATTTGTCAGCACTCTTCCAAAGAAAAAATTAACATTCAGGGCTGTGCACGGATGAATCTAGAATTTAACCTTCAGAATTTACCCTCGGTAATCCGCAAATTATTATTGAAGTTCTCATAGTTTAATAGAAGTTATCTTCAATTAATTAGAAAATAAAATAATTGAATGTTTAGCATAATTAGCCTTACTTTGCTGCAATTTTTTATTATCACAAAACAAACAATAATTTGAATTTTTTATTTAAATGCAACATTTGACAATCTCCTCAATGTTTTCAATCAGACTGCACAGTTTTTTACAAAAGTAAAAACCGATTTTTATAAATGATAGTTTTAACAACACAAATCCAAAAACACAGATGTAATTATTACTACTTTTATAATTTTATGCGGTATTATAATTCAAGAAATTAAGTTAAATAATCAAACCAAAGCTGAAAAGTCCCGTACTTTTACAGGGGACAACATCAGGCGACGTGTGCTATCATTTGTTATTGGACGCAAGTATCGAAAACATCACGCATATCGGATTTGAATGCAAATTAATTACACCAAATACTGTACAAGTTGATATTGTAAGTTATTATGGTGTGATAAAAATTTTACTCTATAAATTATACAAAACAAGCATTAGTTCCGATTTTTTTCTTCTTTAATGACAATTATTTTTTTGAATGAAAAAAATATGTATATATGTTTTTTTATTTTAAAAAAGTTGTATTTTGATTCTGGAAACTTTAACTTCTTCAATAACATTACTGAGATTAACTTGCACACATATAATGTAAATTGGTTTATAAGCATAATCATATGCTAAAATAAATTTATTTTAGCATATAATTATGCTTATAAACCAACTTTAAAGCGAACATTTGGTATAAAAACTGCAAAGTTTATCTGAAAAGCAAGTTGAAATAATTTTATTATTATTATTATTATTATATTGACACAATGCTAAAATTGTTTGATTTCAGATTTCGCTAAAATTATTATTTAATATCGAATTGGAAAAAGAATTCTTGAAAAATCGCCTTCAGAATCATTTGACTAGTAGCCAAATTCTTGCTGCTATTGTAAGAATTGATAGCACTGATAATAGTGAAAGTAACGAAAATTCCATCATGAAATCTATATCAACAGTTCAAAATTCAGGTGAATTTTGCATTACAGTCTTTTTAATTTCACAAAAACTGACTTTCAGAATCGAGAACTCAAAAATTTTGCGCGAACTCGTTTGGATTGCTGTAATAATAATAATTAGTAATTAATTAATTAACTAATAAACCAATGAGAAACGTATATGATCAGGTGCCAAAGTTTTTGATCTATCAGTTACTCAGAATAGGATGCATTTTATTTCGTATTATTTGTAGACCAAATTCTAATTTCAGCAAGCATTTTTCAGAAGTGGCATCAGCGCAAGAATTGATCCCTTTGAGTTCTCATCAAATGCTTGTGATAATAACCTGCTTGATGCTGTTAATAGTTTTTATATTACTGAACATTTGTATTCTTAAAAATCCATACCTATGTGGTGGAAGGCGTTTTATGGGCAGTGTGGAACTTTTGGAATTGCAGTCGGAACCAAAAGGTCAAATGTACACTTCACGACCTTTAATGAGAATGCAAAAAAATTCTAAAATAGCAACATCAAATGTCAAATGTCACACTTCGAAGTGCAACCAACCCTTTCTAGACAATTTCAAGCGTAATAATTTTTCAAAATTTATTTTCATGATAAAATAAATATTCGTAACACATATCGAAAGAAGTTTTCACAAAATCTTGCTATGAATATGTACATAAGCAAATATATATTCACGGCAAGATATCGTGAAAAGTTGAAAAGTACTGTACTCACTCATCAATCTCGAAGTATTCACCCAAATTATTCAAAAATTATCAATATTACTGCACTTAAATGTAATGCGAAAGTCTTTTTAGGGCATTATTCAGTGTCAACTTTCCTTGATTCTGGTATTATTGATCAGGAATCACAAGAAAATGAGTACAATGCAAGAGTTTTGGAGCAAGAACGAGTGAAGGCAAAAGCGTGGACTTTGAGGGGATCATTATCAGATGACGCAATTTTAAATCCGATGAGATTGCAAACCGACCCTGTTAGACCAGCCTTCCTTGAACTTTGCTAGTGATAAATGGTAGACTTGACTTAAATCATTTTTTCGATCAATCAGATCTATCATTAATAATTGCTGTCAATATTTGTATAGAGAGCACTTACTTTCTACGATGTCAGTATGATATTGGCATCATTTGATGATTTGTATGATATCTTACCAAATTCAACTCCAAAATTACTTACTATCAAATTATTAATATTTGAAAATTTCAAATTGCTTTGAAAATGGTTCAAAGTAGAGAAGTTGAGCGTGTGATAAGTAGTAGGCAAGTGAAGAACAGAAATGATTATGAAGATAGACTACTCCAAGCAATGCTTTAGTTACGAATATTGTTTGATAGTAAAGTAAACAGTGCTTACTTACTCTGCCATTTTAGTACACCACGGATTACTTAGAGTAACGCTTATTTGCGTGTTCCGTGTGTTCATGCCTTACTTTGTTGCCGTTTTATTTTACATTTAATCTGTTTGAAATCTTATAAAATTTCATTCAATTTTCTGCTCATTTATTTTTGTATATTGTGTGGCTGTTGCTAATTCATCTTGAATTTGAATAAAATTAATAAAAATAAAATTGGGTATCAAATTTTCAAAAATTACTTTTTCTCCCCGTATTGCAAGTAAAAATAAATAAAATAGCAATTTAAATGCTTTTGCTTTTTTGAAAAGTTATTTCTTATAATATTTAATACTTAAAATAGCCACTAAAGAGTTTACTTTTCAAAAAGAAATGTAGTTTGTATTTTAGCATATCAGTCGTCATATAAATATTAACGAACAATGATATATTATTGTCCGTAATTATTATTTCAAATGTAGTTTTTCTTCTGTATTTTAAAATGCAAGTTGATTACTGTACTTTTTGTTCCTTCAAATTAGCTTAAATGAAATTTTCTTAAAAAAATGAATAAATACAATGTAAGAACAATTTAATTGAAAGTTAAATGGAAATCAAAATTGGAAAGAAAGATGCT